TTGAGTATGTGTCTCATGTCAAACAGTTGAGTATGTGTCTCATGTCAAACAGCTGAGTTTGTGTCTCATGTCAAACAGCTGAGTTTGTGTCTCATGTCAAACAGTTGAGTATGTGTCTCATGTCAAACAGTTGAGTATGTGTCTACAGTTGAGTATGTGTCTCATGTCAAACAGTTGAGTATGTGTCTCATGTCAAACAGTTGAGTATGTGTCTCATGTCAAACAGTTGAGTATGTGTCTCATGTCAAACAGTTGAGTATGTGGCTATTTCTCAATCTCGAGGAAACTGGATTCCAAGCCAACATTTCAAGGATGCTACGTCATCGAGTGCCGCCGAAGGACTGTTCCAATCTCCAGCATACTTGGAATTCCACCGAGGCCGCGTCCTTGGTTTGTGGGAAATTTCGAGGCTGCACATGGGTAGACTTTGCGTCCTTAAAATCCCCACAATGCTTTGCGCATGGACCAATTTCAAAAACCCTTGCGGAGAATGGCAGCAGCAAGTATGTAGTGGCGTAGAACAGGTGTTGGTAAATATGTTACATTTGTTATCACCAAAAATGTTTTCCATGAAAGTAAAGTAAGTTCATAATTAGATAGACATCGTGAGGTATTTATTTTCGGTACAGTTTATGTTGAAACCGTTAGAGAGAGTGGCACACTTGTTAGCATGTTCCATTCTTCTTCGGTTTCCGAAGCCGTGGCTTGGAAGCATACTTGCTTCGTTTCTGAAGGAAGTGACTTGGAAGTACGCGACTACCAAGCCAGCATCCTCGCGATTGAGAAACGGCCTGTGTCTCATGTCAAACAGCTTTTTTTTGCTGCCGACTCTTGTTGGGTGTTGCTATTGAGTCTTGTGTTGAGCTGCTGGTCCCCCCTGGGGGCTTCCAATCAGGTGCCTGATTGGAAGCACCTGCCAGAGTTACCAACACAACCACGTTGGCTGAGAAATGCTGGTTGAAGAATGGACCATCCCACAGTAGTGTGTGAGCAGCATGAGGAGGAGAGGCTGCTGTGGCTGTGTATGGATCTTTAACACGCTACTGAGGCTGCTTGTTAAATGAATACATTGTTAAACTGCCAATATGTCTTATTTCCTCAGGCTTCAACCATCCAATCCACCAAACAAGAATCAACAGCATCAAAAAAGCCGGTTGGCATTGACAGAGGAGATTTGTCACATTTTTCATGGACGCAACCCACATACTCAGCTCTGCTGCTCATCCCACAAATGCATGTTCCTCACAAATGTGGCACCATTTGAAAGTGAAATAAACAGGCTTTCCCACGGTATAAGATCGGACATTATTTATCCCGAAGGAAATTGTTGTGCCAGAGTTACAAAGATACAATAAAGCAGTAGGCTAATACAACTTTACACTAACAGTGCAGTTCAAAGAGGCAACGCGATCAGTATGGACATTGCACATAATGGGAGTGTTATTCAGACAATACTGATTTAATGCCAAGGGGCATTGTTACAACAAAGAAAGAATCTACCAAATACAAATGTCCTTACTTGCTGTGCTATGTTTCTAAGAGACATTTATATGGAGTATTATGTGTGTGTTCAGACAGATGTGTGCTAGGTGATCCAAACTACTGCAAACCCCGACGAGCTGTACCTTGATACACTGCATTGTGATGTGGTTGATCACCCGGATGATTCCGCGGGACCCGGCCACGGCCAGCAGAGGATGGTTTGTGTTGGTGTTGTAGGTCCAGGCACACGTATAGAAGTTCTCATCTGTCTTTATACACATTTAATTAAGGACATTCAAATAAAAGAACTCTTGCTGTGATGCACTCATACCTAAACTGTGACGATTAGATTGGAAATTTAGCGACAATGAGGACGTTTAAAAGCATCTTCAACTGTTGAAAGGATACATCTGCATCCACGTAAGACTGCAATAGTCTTATTTCTCCCTGAGAGTGACATTCATAAAGAGTTACCTGGTGAAGAAAAGAAAGCACTGGTTAAGAATGGAATAAAACATTAAGTGAAATCCAACATAGAACAATATTATGGCCTATTATAGCTTACCCTGTTACTCCCCACTGTGGCAAACACCAGCGGGTCTCCCTCCTTGCTGTGCCAGTTAAACTGGACGCCAAACAGCGGCTGTCCGTGGTCTTCCTGTGGAAATCATGATGTCATTATTAACCCAAGTCATGGGACAAATACTGGCTGTTTAGCATGTCAGAAGCTGGGATGAATACACTGTTTGGGCGCTTGTCTGTACGTACCCTCAGGCTGTTTACACATTTAAAAGAATATCTGCACTTCTTGGACTTCCACTTGCCCTTGCCCCAGCTCTTTCTGCCCGGGGCGTTGGCCGTGTTGGTGGGGGTGTCTGGGCGCTCTGCGTGGGTCCCACTCTCAACACTGACAGCATCATCCTGCAAAAACAGAGACATATAAGGGTGACTTCATATTTCTCCTGCAGATATAACCATTGTTGGTGATCACTGTGCAAGGAAGCAAAGAACAGATCATAATCTTCAACCAGCTAAAAACCTACCACTACCATTTTAATACGGGTAGTGTTCTGCAAGCGTGTAACTATGAATTAACTCTATGGTTCATCAAACTGTTGCTGCATTTACATGATCACTTCCAGTGGAATCTGCCTGAATAACTTTATTCTGCACATCAAATGCATTACTGACAGGAGGTTAACGTTTGCAAAAAGACAATAACGGCCCTATGAATGTTTGTCCATCATCCACAGTTGTTTCTTTCTCTCCCTGATTAACTTATATTAGCTTCTAGTGCTAACAATTGCCTTGGGTTGTACATTTTGTGACTGTCTACAGCAAACAAATGTGTATGTACGTAAACGACAATGAAGCTACCCATGTGTAACCTTTTTGGATGGATTGGCAGCTTTTATCATCACAGCTGAGTTACATATAGCCGGTAAGAATGAACAAAGCTCCTAGCTAAACACTTTAGCCGGTTGGCTATTTTAGCACGATGCTAACTTGCTAGAAACACTGATGGATAATTGGTCGCAGAAGAAACAACAGAGTTGAACTACTTACATTCTCGTCTCCTGATAAATCGGGGTTACTGTTCTCGTCACTGCTAAGTTTTTGTTTTTTCGCCGGTATTTCTTTTCCCGCTTGAGAGGGGGTCTCGGACATGTTCTTATTTTCCCTCATTTTGGCTCAAACTCCGCCTTTTCCGCGCCACTACCGGAAAAGTTGCCGGCTTTCTTTCTTCTTCTTATTCCTTGATGTTTATTGGTTGTTGGCAAACCAGGTCTGAGGCGCAATACCGCCGACTAGTGGACTGGAGTGTAAAATCGCGATATTATGCAGGGACCAAACATATTTTAGCTAAATTACTTTTAAAACTACTTATCAGTTTATAGATCTGACGTTTTCCCACTTACTGACGGAAGAAGTTGTTTTCTTTTGATATGTCTTTCTTTACAAATAGTTAGTAAATTGGCTACAGTGTGTGCATTTTCTGCTTGGACTTGCCTTTTTAATATGAAAACAAAGTGTTATATATTTTGTTCTCTATCCACTTTGGGGGGTTGGAGGCAATAATATTACAAATAGTTCTGTGGTATGGTCCGATACTCTTTTCTTGAAATATCCCTTGTATAAATGATTCATCCTTTGCTGTATGTTGAGGTCTTTATTTGGGAAGGTGGATAAAAAAGGAAGCAATTAAACTAGTTATTACTAATGTATGTAATCCTATACTTCCAGCCTTTGCATCACCAATCTACCAAAAAATGCTCTTGGCAACATTTTTGAACAATTAAATGATTAAAACATTTGATAAATACCATTTTTAGAATGTTCATCTCCAAAAATATCAACCAGGTAGACACCTAAGATATGCACTCTTACAGCTTAGTTATTTTTCAAAGACATTAAAATGCATTTAATAAAAAAAAACAGTTGACAATCATGTTTTCTGAAGTAGACAACATCCGTTTGCTTTTACAGTCCAATAATATGTTGCTCTTTGCAGTGATGTCAGCCATGTTGTTGGAATGATGTGTCCTGGCTTTAGATCTACAGCATCAACTCTGCCTCCTCGATGGAGGCCACGCTCATGTTCTCGGACATCTCTTCATCTTCCTCCTCTTCTTCTTCCTCCTCCTCCTTAGCGGTCCTCTTCACGCCCCTCTGCTTCGACAGGGCCACGGCGTAGCGAATGTTATACATGTTAAAGTCACACCTGTACAGTAGGAACAGAGGTAAGAGTGTCAGGGCTCAGAGGATTTCTTGCATTACAAAAACAGGAAATGACATGGAAAGTGTTTTGTGGCTTCAGAGTTGTGTTGATTAAAGCTCGATATCAGACAGTGGGGATTGATGTGGCCAAAAACTTTAATACTTACAGTTTGGACAGATTGTCAAAGTGTCTCTGGATGCTTTTCTGCAGCGCCTGCAGCGTGGGCAGTATGGCTCCCGACCTGCACAGCAGATAGAGATAATCAGTCACCCATAATCATATGAAGACGGGAAGGGAAATGAATAAAGGCCTGGGAGCGTACCTGTTCTTCAGATTCTGTCCGTGCAGCATGAGCAGGCTCTGGGCCCAGGTCATGTAGAACTGCAGGTGACCCGACTTCTCCAAACTCGCCGCCACGAAGCCCAGAAGCTTCTCCACGTAGATCTCAGGAAGAGAGCTGCAAACCACTGGGACTGGAAGATCAAATCAATCAATATCATTGATCGCGTTCAGAGGGAGCAGATCATTTCATTATCATTTGAGATGGACTCACTCTGCTCATGTGGCACTTTTTCCAGCACTTCCTGCTTCAGGGCTTTTTCGTTGAGTCTGAACGCCAGCACGATGGCCGGCGCCCACTCCTGGAGCCGCAGCTGCTTACGGATGCTGGCCGGCGTCACGTCCATATCAAGGTCGTAGGGGTCAAAGACCAGAGAGCCGTCGAGAGAGTAGACCAGCAGACCCTCGGTGGTGGTGGCCGCCCAGCTACGACCTGAGAAAGCATGGAAACACTTCATAAACCTTTAAGACCGCAGTTCCCCATCAGATTGACTTAAATACAATTCAGAGTATGTAAGGTGACCATTGCTCTCTCCGTGCTTACAGATCTTACATCGACATTTAAACTCAATTCCTTCTCAACTTGTTGCCAGCTGCATAACAAAGTATGATAGAGGACATTACATTTGATGTGTTAATTGACTGATGGACCAAAAAAACGATAACTTTAGAGTGTTTTGATAATTAAATGATTATATTTCCAAAACTGTCATTTCATAAGCACCCTTTCTATCCTCTTTATCAGACATTCCTAGCACGCCCAATACTTAATAACGACAACCTACCAGTAGGAGAGAACCGCAGCGAGCTCACTCTGATCTCAGGCTTGAAGTGTCGAGAACTCATATCCCCTTTAAAGAAAAAAACATACAGAAAATATGAGTAAAAACACAAGGAAATACAGAGCACAGCGTAACAAATAGACCACCATTTTGGATTATCAGCTGGATGGCAATGATGCCAACCCTTATGGGGATTATCATACTTCAGAACAGCTCTTTTCAGTGATGTCATACCTTTCCTGACTCCAGGCAGGCTGATGTTGACCCCCTCCCCGTCTCCAGCTCCCTCGTCCACCAGAGCCAGGCTGCCGAACTCCGTCATCTTCCGCCTGTCCAGGAACTCCTGAAGGCAGCATGGGAAAACAAGTTCAAGAGCCGAGTAAGCATATTGGTGATCACTGGATCCTTCTGTGGAACATGGGAACCTGGATGCTTCTGTGGAACCTGGGAACATGGGAACATGGATCCTTCTGTGGAACATGAAAGATTCCTTGAAGCGTGTGATGTTGCTCTGAAAGTCGTACCTCCATGGCATCGAAGGAGAGGTTGCAGGAGATCTCAAACTTCTTCATGAGCATCTGCTCCTTCACGTTGTAGATGCAGACAAACTTGGACTGTCCTCCCGCCAAAACCGACTCCCCGTCCGCAGAGTAGCACAGCGACGTGAAGGACCTGGGTGAACAAAGGTGAGGAAGCGCATCCTGAATCTTATATTCCACACAAAGCCTTATCCTCTTTGATTGGACCAAAGGAAATGAGTTCAGCTCTCACTCACTTCCCCTTAGCGGACTGCTTGGCTGTGATTTTATCAGTCTCTTTGCGGCCCGTCTCCAGGTCGTGGCGTCCGGACACGGAGCCGGTTTGTGTCGCCGTTTGTGGGTTCCAGAAAGAAACCTCCCCGTTCAGAGTGGCTACAGCCAGCTCCTGACCGTCAGGGCGGTACGTCACTGCCAAACCTGAGAGGAAAATATACAGCAGAATATGACATCACATATGATAGCAGTGATACTCTACATTATCCATCGCAAAATACAAACGTTGTTTCTTGTGTTATTCCAACATGTTTAGGGCCTTGAAATGACTTGTAATCCACTATGAAGCAGAAAAATCGCTACGTTCGCTTGGATTTATTCTCTCTTTTTGAACCATCAGAACCTACTTCACCTGTTGTAGGACTTTATTTATAACCTGGAACAATCATACAATAAAGTCCCTTAACACTCCAGAAATAACACAGGTTCCTTATATTCAGAATCAGAAAACACAGATAGAAAACTATTTTAAGAAAACTATAATAACATTACAAAATATTGAAAGAATACTGTAAAATATTGCAGTATTTACATTGAAATAAAATATAAAATATGTGCAGTAATAATAGATATTAAGGTAATGCATATTGTATGTATAATGAAATATTCAGCATGTGTATTTACCATCAGAGGTGAGGGGTAGTGTCTCTTTGACCTGCCAGCTGTTCAACATGTCCCACAGCCGGACAGTGCGGTCCCAGGAGACACTGGCCAGGATGGAGTGGACCGGACTGAAGCACAGACAGCTGACCGGGCCCTCGTGGCCCCCAAGGACCTATCAATAACAGGGAGGGAAAAATATGAATATTTTTAAACATGAGCCATGTGAGAATTTAATGAATGAATGTGCTGAAGAGTTTGGAAGCAACGTTTACATTCTGTGCAGGCTTCTGTTTTCTTGCATGACTAAGCATTATGTTTAAAGCTGGAATTTCTGATTAAACTGCACCAATAATATTAGTATTATATTCAGAAAACCTTATTCGTCCCACAGAGGGGACATTTACATTTGTTACAGCAGAAACGAGCCAAAGCAGCTTAAAGTTGACTAAATGTATTAGTAGGGTCAGATTCTAGTGGGGGATTAGCAGCACTGTGTCAGACTTGTGTGATCCAAACATTTACAATAACTCCAAAGCCTTTATTCAATAAGTCTGTTTTTCTACAGATCACAAAGTTTCATATGTGTTGCATTAAGTGTTTCAAAAGCAACATTTCCAGCACCGTCATGTTTCAGTGTTTCCCCTATATACAAATAGGGGCGGCGCAGCGCCGCTGCTGAAATATGCGCGCCGCTGCTAGGGGGCGCCAGCCAGGTACACAAAAAAATAATAATAATAAGTGGCGACCCTTTTTCCTTTTTGATTGTTTGTTATGTGGATTTGTAGTATGTGTTACTGTATGTTCAATAAAAGGTGTATTTTTGCTAAATCTTGAGACATTGCCACTGTATGTACTGGCAGGGCCGATTTTTGGCATAGGCGGTCGCCTAGGGCGCCAGATCTGGCGGGCGCTGCGCTGGTAGCTCTGGGAGGGAAAAAACATTTTTGACCGTTGGCGCTCATCCAAATTTTCGGCCTTGATGTAACAACATTCATAATTAAGTACATTTAACACCCTTTTCACCCCGGTTACACTTTTCATTAGCCCTGTACCATGGGCGCTGTAAATGATGAAAGTGGGGGATGTTGGCTTATCAGGCGCCCGCAGCTCACAGCCATAGTGCGAGCGTGGGAGCGACAGAGCGAGCGAGGAAGAGGGCGCACCGGTACCGGCGCTGTTGTTATTGGAATCTGGTGCTAGCTGCGCTAACGGATATAAGAAGTAGATGTTTCTACAACCAGGGTGGAGGAGAGCTCTCCTGTCAGACGGAGAGGCTCAGTGAGGTAAAGGACTCTCTGAGTGTTTAGATAAGTTAATTTTAGTCTAAGTTATCTCAGTGGGTCTCAAACGTTTTGACCACAAATGATGTAAACACATATTTCCAAGGCACTCCTTTATAATTAATAGGATAAATAAAAACAGGTTTGAAATCATTCCAATGTATACTATAGGACAGTAATCCAAAAATATCGTTTAAAGTTGGAGAGATACAAAAAATGCATAAATAAATAAATGTTAACTAGGTAAAATAAGATATGAATGAACAACAAAAATAAAATAAGCTACATGTATTTGTTATTGGTTATGGTAGGTTATTGGTTATGTTCACATACTTATTTTATTATTAAAATGTAAACCGATCTTTTTCATATGGGTGTTTAGAGTTGTACCCCCTAGATCAGGGGCCGTATTCACAAAGCATTTTATCTTACCGCTAGGAGTGCTCCTAACTCGCGCTAAAACATTTTACGTAGGAGTTTTTTCTTAAAAGTTATTCACAAAGCCGCTGAGACCTACTCATACTAAGGATAAATCACTAAGAGTGAACTAAGAGTGACGCGCCGTTGCTATGGATGACGTCGATTCTCATGCATGAGTTTAGAAGCGGTCAGTACGGTGATTGGTTGTTCAGAGTAGGCGGTCTCGGTGAAACTCATCCGCAACATCCCACAAA